GTGTGTGTGTGTGTGTGTGTGTGTGTGTGTGATTGTGTGTGTGTGTGTGTGTGTGTGCTTGTGTGATTGTGTGTGTGTGTGAGATTGTGTGTGTGTGTGATTGTGTGTGTGTGTGTGTGTGTGTGTGTGTGTGTGTGTGATTGTGTGTGTGTGTGAGATTGTGTGTGTGTGTGATTGTGTGTGTGTGTGTGTGTGATTGTGTGTGTGTGTGTGTGTGTGTGTGTGTGTGTGTGTGTGTGTGATTGTGTGTGTGTGTGTGTGTGTGTGTGTGTGATTGTGTGTGTGTGTGTGTGTGTGTGTGTGTGTGTGTGTGTGTGTGTGTGTGTGTGTGTGTGATTGTGTGTGCAGTGAAAGTGAAACAAGGCCTCATTGAGCTGAAAGCAGCTGTGAGTCGAGCAGAAAAAACAGACAGAAACGCCTCACAGTGGCACACAGAGCCGTCAGTGTTCAGCCTGGAGTAAACAAACCACACAGAACCATCTTCATCTTCAGCTCCGCCCACCTACTCAGATAAAAATAACTCTCACTCACTCTCACTCCCTCATTCTCACTCTCACTCAATGTAAGACCAGAGAGAGAGAGAGAGAGCGAGAGAGAGAGAGAGAGAGAGAGAGAGAGAGAGAGAGAGAGAAAGAGACAGAGAGACACACAGCCTTAAGCAAACTGAATATTTACTGCAAATCTGAGGAGAGACATGTACAGAGTATAAAAGGGGATGAGAGAGAGATAAAAGCTCAGAGAGAGAGAGAGCCCAGATAAAAGAAAAAGAGACAGAAAAAAGAGCATAGAGAAAGAGGAAGGGAGGGACAAAGAGAAAGGGAATAAGAGTTACGATAGAAAGACAAAAAAGAGAGAAAGAGGAAAAGCAAGAAAAAAGAGGTGAAGTGAAGGACAAAAAGAGAAAAACAGAGAGAGGGAGAAGGAAGAAAAAATGATAGAGACAAGAGAAACGAAAGAAAAAGAAAAAGAAAATAAAAAAGTGATAGAAAAAGGTGAGAAAGAGAAAAAGAGAACAAAAAGGAAAGAAAGAGTAAAGAAAAGATGGACATAGGGATTACAAGAGAAAAGAGAGAAACAAAAAGAAAAAGTTGAAACGAAAGAGTGAAATAGAGAAAAAGAGAAGAAAGAAAGCGAGAGACAGCAGCAAAAAAGAAGAAGAGAAAGATGAAATGAAAGAGCAGTAGAAAGAGAAATAAGAGAGAAAAACATCCCACATTACAGGAGAGAATAATAATTAAAACAAACAGAAACAAAACAGACGAGTTTCTATAAAGCAGGTAAATATTTACACGTTTACACGGAGAGACGGTAACAATCGTTCTGCTGGTTACGAGAAAAGTTCTGTAGTTTTGTAGAAATTTGGCACAAACGTTAACGTCCATCGTGGATGAGTGTTTGTTGGGGGGGGCTGGATGACATCACTAATAGTGCAGCACACTGTTCACCATAGCAACGCTGTATCACCGTCCCCACAAGTATATAATAACCCTCACTCTCTCACACACTGTAGAAGCCCTATAATTGTCACATGTTCACACATTCATGTTTCATTAGAAACGATTTGTTCCCACTGAGCAGAAAAACGTACAGAAATAACGGCAATAACGCGGAACACGGAACGCAACGTAGAACTCAATCAGACGCAGAAACACTGAGCGTTTAAAACTGATCGGAACTTCAGAGACGGATCAGAAAAGAGAGATTTATACCAGCCCACAGGATACGGAGCCAAAGTGGCCTCTGTCGGAATCCTCCGCTCCACCTTAAATGGTGCAGCACTTACATTCTGTTCCACCTTAAATGGTGCAGCACTTACATTCTGACACCTGAGGCTCCAGAATCTTTCATTCCACCTTAAATGGTGCAGCAGACTGAGGTGACAGAATGTAACTGCTGCACCGTTTAAGGTGGAACGGAAGATTCCGACGGGAGGCCTCAGCTGGGTGAAGAGGATGGAGACATTCAGAAAGGCATGAATGATGAAGATATCAGCACAAAACTCCCTCGGCGGAGAGATTCTGCGTGAAGAGTCTGATTCATCTGAACCGCCTCGTGACAAAAAGCCCTCCGTTACTCCGTTACTCCTCTGCGCTGAGAAGAAATAAAAAATATCCGTCCGTTTGTTCTCGAGTAACTTTCCTTTTAACGTGATTAGTAACAACGACATCTCAGGAGCTCCGAAGCAGAGTTAATATATCTAATACTGAGACTGTACAGACAAAGTTATTACTCTTATTACATATGTTATTACTGTCTTATTACACCCGATGACAGATGATTTGAAGAGCTCAGTGGAGAAAGTTCTGGAGCCCAGCTTTTGTTGATTTTTTTCTGATTGTCTATAAAGTGAAGGTCTGAGAGGTCAGGGCACCCCCTACAGTCCAGCAGGAGCGCATAGGACAGTACATCACTCTAATTCTCCACAGTCTAAACAGGAAATGGTTCATAATCCAATGCGTGTGGACGGTCCACAACCAGCCTCACCATCTGTTAGACCCATAACAGAAGGGAAGGAAACTGGCACATGACTGGACCCGTTCAGCTGGGTGCCAAATAATCATCTTTTATTCGAGAACAGTAGCTGTGAAAGAACAGGGAACATGGAGACGTGAACAGACCTGGGTTCTATTCTGGTTCCACTGGTTTAATACTTGTTAATTAAACTGGTTTAAAATTCAGTGAAGTGTTAAAGTGGTTGATCATGTAGGAACAGAGTTCTACTGCTGGGGTGTTACGTTCAGACTACTTTGACCCCTCATTCTCCAAAAAACACCAACATTCTCAACCAAAAGTCCTGATTCCCATCCTCCATCAAACAATATTCACCATCATCCTCCACCAATCAACTTTCACCATCATTCTCCAAACATTCACCATCATCCTTCACCAACCAACAATCACCATCATCTTCCACCAAACAACACTGACCATCATCCTCCACCAAACAACATTGACCATCATCCTCCAAACATTATTTACCATCATCCTCCACCAAACAACAATCACCATTATCCTCCACCAACCAACATTCCCCATCATCCTCCACCAAACATCATTCACCATGATCCTCCACCAACCAACAATCACCATCATCCTCCACCAACCAACATTCCCCATCATCCTCCACCAAACATCATTCACCATGATCCTCCACCAACCAACAATCACCATCATCCTCCACCAACCATCATTCACCATCATCCTCCACCAAACATCATTCACCATCATCCTCCACCAACCAACAATCACCATCATCCTCCACCAACCAACATTCCCCATCATCCTCCACCAAACATCATTCACCATGATCCTCCACCAACCAACATTCACCATCGTCCTCCACCAGTCAACTTTCACCATCATCCTCCAAACATTTACCATCATCCTCCACCAACCAACATTGACCATCATCCTCCACCAAACATGATTCACCATCATCCTCCACCAACCAACATTCACCATCATCCTCCACCAACCAACATTCACCATCATCATCCACCAACCAACATTCACCATCATCCTCCACCAACCAACATTCACCATCATCATCCACCAACCAACATTCACCATCATCCACCAAGCAACATTCACCATCATCCTCCACCAAACATGATTCACCATCATCCTCCACCAACCAACATTCACCATCATCATCCACCATTTTTTCAGCTTTCTTTATGATGTAAATGACTTTCTTTCTCCACCACAGTCCAAACTCTGGTTTTTGCCAGTGACTTTATAAAATTCCAGAAAAGGAACCAAGTCGAGTAACTGAGAGTGAACAGACAGACCACACCAGACTCTCGACAACAAGACAGACACGCCCACCTGGCGCTCTGGTGTTTTGGAGAATGTAGGATCAGCTCTTCTGGCTCTACTCATCTGGTTTACTGGGTTTACTGGTTTACAGTTTAAACTACAGACATGTGCTGTAAACCTAACAGCTGCTCTCCTGAAACCTCTAACAGCATAACGTTTATTTTCAGGGACCCTCCGGAACTTTGATTTTGAGACATTTTGGGGGGTCTAATAGGTTGATTAGGGGGTCCCAGAACCCCCTGTTTTTGCAGCTTGGTTAGATGTATATATTATCGTCTCTCACCTCGTTACAGCATCATATGATACGTTCTGTTTGATGTATACTAGAAAAAGGCAAATCAAAAAAGGCGTCAATCACGTCCAGTGCTCCTTCCCATGTTGCTGGGAAACAGCGTGTTAAAGGAACTAAATAGGAAGATCAGTTAGAAATGTTTCATATATTCTGAGTGTGACAGCAGCACAAATATCCGACAGTGTAAGAATCCATTTTCTGCAGCTAATGCATGACGGTGTCACACTGACGGATCTGTGTGCTGCTGCGCTTTGGCATTAATTTTATTTCAGGTTGGCTCTGTTTCATCTCACCCATTCACTCCATTGTAACCCCGTAAAGGAATAAGAGTGGAGCCGCTTTAGGCTGTCAGGTGACACCGTCTGCTGTCTGTCTGGGTACTAATAGCCAAACTGAGCGCAGGTTATATTACTACTCATAATTATTTTTTTCTGCCTGAAAAATAGATCAGTATCTCTCAGAGTTGTAGCTGAGTCTGTTCCTCCATTTTTAATTAGAGATGCGTGATCAGGAGATTGGAAGTGGCACAGTTTTGCTCTAAAATCTAAATTATATTAAAAATTTGCTGCTGATCTCCAATTTTGGGCCATTAATCATAAAATGTACACACAATTAAAGCATTTTCAAATGTCAAAATATGAAAAATGAGATTCAAGTTTTTGTTCCAGTAGCAGCGATAAATATAAATATATATGTTTGGCCGATCTGTGTTGCAGTTTTATGATGTAAATAACTTGAGAACTGTATCTGATTCATGTTAATCAAATATGTTCATTTTTCATTTAAGAATTTAAAATGGCAGTTTTGACCATTAAGGAGTAAATTATGTTCTTTACATTGTAACTTTCACCAAAAAAAGAAACCCAAACACAGTGTGATCTTTGGGTTTCAAAGGCCAACTTGGCTGTAAATAAACTGGATGATTAGAATCAGCCATAAAAATTCCTGACCAGTGGACCCCTATTTCAATAATGTGTTAATTCACTGATCATTTATTGATGAGTGTGTATGAAGGTGCAAACCTACAGCAGAGATAATCAAATTAAACTGAACTGAACTGAATGAGGTGGGACGTCATATGGTTTAATGCTGGGGGTCTACCAGGTTCTGGTGGCTCACGGTACTCCTGATCGCACTGCTGTGGAACCACGTTTGAACAGGTCTGGACGGGTGGTACCGTAGCGGTGAAGGCTGGCTGTGAAACTGGCCATCAGTGCTGTGTTATACTCTGGTCGTTGAGTGTGAGTGCGGAAGGCCCGTGTTGTTGTATCCGTGCGTGAAGGTGTTGTATGGGTGCATGCTGGGATACCCCATCAGCGAGCTGGGCGACATCGTGATAGTGTTGGGCGTCATAGTGACGCTGTTGGGTGTCATGGAGACGCTGTTTGGCGTCAAGGCGGCGGCGGAGTTGGGAGTCATGAGCGGGATGTCGTCAGGCGAGCGGCGCAGGGTTAGAGCGTAATCCCTCGGAGACGAGGCCGGGGTCAAACGCAGGGGGTCACATAGTGACCCCTCCTCTTTCTCACCTCCAGAAATTGAAGCAGGAACGTAGTTGAGGTCGTTGGGTGGGGCCTGGCGCTGGGGGGCAGACTGGGGGGGCGTGTCCTGCCGGCTGCGCTTATCTTTGCGGTAGTAAAGCGCGGCGAAGGCCAGAACGTTGAGGAACAGAAGTGAAGCTCCGACAGCGATGGTCACGCTGAGCTCTGTGGAGTAATCCCGCGGATTGGCAATCACCAGCGGGCCGCTGCGGGCTGTGGATTGGGGCGGCTGGCGTTTGCCGGGCGTTCGGGTCTTGCCGCCCCCTCCTGGTCGGGGCGTGGAGCTGCGGGTGCTGTGCGTGGTCTGCGCTGGAGGAACGCGGGTGGTGGTGGAGGTGTAGTGGAACATGTCGTGCAGGTTGTACAGGTGAGGCACCAGGTGCTTCCAGAAGGCCACCTTGGTGGCGCGGTAGTGGTCGCGGACACGAGGCTTTAGGCCGATGTGCAGGTAGAGCTGGTCATGAGGGCTGTACTTGGACCAGGAAACCTCCTCGAAACGGTTCGCCTTCGTGTGGATGAACTTGGTGTCCTGGGGAACCGGCTTATTGGGGTCTCTGAGGGGAGAGAAACAAAATTAAACCTATAATTACTGCAACACGTCATGTGTCTGACAATCCAATGATCAGTTAGGATGAACTACGATTACAGAAGATTTAACAAAGTGTGCACTTTAGGCAATTTTAGCAACACAGTCTGCTAAGTTTTAGCAATTTACCAGATTCAAATGCCATATGCAAAAGTTTGGGCGCCCCAACCAAATTCCATGTTGTCATTGATCTTTGAAGTTTAAATAAGTTACACATCCTTCACAGAGACACACATCATAATGCACAGTTACTGTTCACTTACTGAATTTAACGCATTGGGGAACACATGAAACATAAAAAGTGGCCTGTGCAAAAGTTATGGCACAGTTGATATTTTTTCAAAATGTTAAACACAAATAAATAAAAAATTAAGCAAATAAACAGAAACCGTGTTCTCTGTAGAGGATCTGTTCACTTATTGTCGCTTAGAAAACCAACAACTAAAATGGTTTTTGACCCAAACTTCTGCACACGACTGTACAAAGACAATTATTTTGGGTAGCATGATGGTAACTGTTCTGAAACAGTTTGACTAAATTACACTGAAACATCCAACATGTTCTAGATATTAAAAGAGAAATTGTGAGTGTGCCTATTTTGGGGTAATTAGTACTGTTGAGTTTTCCTGGTTTAAACCTAGAACCTAAAAAATTGTAAAAGAAAGAGTTACTGCTGTATTTTTGGGCCAAGCTAAAAATCATGGCCTATTTTCATTTGTGACTTTAGTGTATTTAAAAAATTAAAAATAATTAAAATGACTCTGACTCAAATTGTGTGGTGATGTGAACACATAGTTTCTGAAATAGGCATAACAGAATCATTATGAGGTCACAGATTTACATCCCTGATATTTAACATTTGTAGCTTTGAGGTGATGTTTGTGTTTGTGTACATGATTCATCCAACCGTAATTACTGAAACAGTGTTCTCCCAGGCTGCGCTAGAGGGCGCTGTTTCACACGACAGCGAGTTATCCTCTCTCTCTCTCTCTCTCTCTCTCTCTGTCTCTCTCTCTCTCAATGTGACCTACTTCAGGATCATTTTGAGGCCATTTCTGCTGTTTGCACCTGCTACACACACAGCAGAGCACCAGGAGAAATGCTGCACTCTAAAAATGGGTCCCGACACAAGCTGGTAATTTTTGATCCTTCACTGCGAAAATAATTTTTCTCCTTTGATCTCTGAGAGCGTCCAGTGAACATTTATTAAACCATTATGTTTTGCGCATCATGAAGCGTCCGTCACTTAAATTCTCCTGTATGCGCTGCTTTGTTGTTTATCCTCGTTCTGGTTCTGAAGGATCATGTTAGTGTTTTTCCTGCTCTAGTTACTTAGTAAACGGGACACTGGAGGTGGGAGTGCTGAGGGGGCTGCAGCTACACATACTCACCGAGCACTTTATTAGGAACACTACACTAATACGGGGTAGGGCCACGCTTTGGGCAGTGTGTGAAAGACCCCCTGGTATTCAGGGGTCCCATGGCTGCTAACTCTCTCTCTCTCCATAGCGGCGCTGATGCTTCAATGTCAGTAAATATTTCTTTTATCATCTGTTCTTCTGTAGAGTCTCTGTTCTAGTGCAGTTCTGCGCTCTTCCTCACAGTAACTGAGATCTTCCTCGTCTCCTCTTCTGTCTTCAGTGTGAGAAATGAGGAACAGTCACTCTTCACTCCAAACTCTTGGGAAACTGGGCGAGTTTTCAGATTTACAGATCTGCTGCAGCTCATTGTAAAGTTTTTCAGAGGAATCCGGGCAGAGTTACAGTTTCTAGACTATGAAAGGACCAACTGGGTGAACCAGTCTGCTACAGCGCCACCCTGAGGCAGAGCAGTGCTGCAGCTCTAGTTAGTTAAGCATACTGTAGGCAACAACAGTGAAATTACTGCTAAATGTAGCGAAAACACAGTCTGGCAGCTGACTGTATTTCCTTAATGGACAGCATAATATCATAATAAATTATTTTCAGGGACCCCCAGAATTTTGATTTTGAGACAGAACCCTTCAGAATCCCATTCATTTCACATCTTGGCCTCAATTGTTTGTGTCATGGACTCCACAAGATGTTGGAAACATTCTTTTGAGGTTCTGGTCCATGTTGAGATGATCATCATGCAGGTCCTGCAGATTTTCAGCTGCACTTTAATGCTGTGAATCTCCTGTTTTTCCACATCCCAAAGGAGATCTACTGGATTCAGATCTGGTGACTGTGAAGGCCACTGAAGAACACTGACCTCACTGTGATGTTCAGGAAACCAGTTTGAGACTTTAGCTGTGTGACACGGTGCATCATCATGCTGGAAGTAACCATTAGTAGATGGTAAATTGTGATCATGAAGGGACGAACATGGTCATCAACAACACTCAGGCTCCCGGTTCCGGTGCGCCGTAGAATGGCCGCACTGGTGAGAGCTCTGGGTAAACTCTACAGGTTTTTGTGTTTTATTGTGCTGTTTCTTTGTGCTTTTGCACAAACCGCTTTTGGGATCATTCAGTATGATCAACAAACTCTTTTGAACATCCGATCATCGCTCAAGACGGACTTTAACACAAACACATGCTCGGACGCGAGCGGCTGCCCCTTCGCTGCTTCTCTGCCTCTTTGTTTACCAACACGTGCACGCCGGCGGAGCAGGAGGAAGCGCTAGAGGGGCAGATGCGCCGGGATATTATGCAGGACAAGGAAGAGGCGCTTCAACCCTCTGCTTCCAAGTATTCTACTTGCAAATGTTCAATCGCTGGAGAAGAAAACAGACGAGCTGAACACGCGGATCAGGTTTCAGTGCAACATTGAGAGCTGCTGCGTTTTAGCGCTCACAGAGACGTGGCTCTCCGCGGCAACACCGAACAACGGCATCACACCGGCCGGTTTCACCATCTACCGCCAGGACAGAACTCTGGACTCTGGTAAGGGCAGAGGCGGCGGGGTATGTGTTATGGTGAACTCTCGATGGGGAACAGATGTAGCGGTTCTAGCCAGTCACTGCTCTCCAGACATTGAACTCATAACAGTCAAAGTTCGACCCTTTTTTTTGCCCAGGGACTTCAGCTCAGTCATTCTCAGTACAGTCTACATCCCACATCAGGCAGAAAAGTCACGTGCTTTGGAAGTTTTGTACGAGACCATTAATGGACTTGAGAACGTTCACCCTGAGGCTGCTTTTATTGTGGTTGGGGATTTTAACAGGGCAAACTTGAAGAAGGTTCTGCCCAAGTACTACCAGCACATTAAATTTCCCACCCGAGGAGAACAGACTCTTGACCACTGCTACACCACAATCAAGGACAGTTACAAACACCTCCCCCGCCCTGCCTTCGGCAAAGCTGATCACATCTCTGTTCTTCTCCTGCCCGCATACAAACAAAGACTTAAACAGGCAAAAACAGTTCTCAGATCAGTCTATCAATGGAGTGAGGAGGCCATCTTCACACGTCAAGACTGCTTTGAATCCACAGACTGGAAGACGTTCCGTGATGCAGCTGACACAGACATCAATGAATACACTGACTCCATCACAAGCTACATCAATAATTGCACTGAAGACACTGTACCAAAAATCAATGTCAGGACATTTCCTAACCAGAAACCCTGGATCAATGCTGAGGTTCGAGCCAAACTAAGAGCTCGGGCTGCTGCCTACAACTCTGGTGACCCGGCTAGCTACAAGAAGGCCAGATATGACCTTCAGAGGACCATCAGACTGGCCAAAAGGAGCTACAGGGACAGACTGGAATCCAACTATCTTGGCTCTGATCTCAGATGTATGTGGAGTGACCTGCGCACCATCACTGACTACAAAGAAGGTGGGATCTGTGATGGGGGCTCTTCCTCCTCACTTGCAGATGAACTTAATGCTCATTATGCTCGTTTTGAGGCAACTAACACCTCACCTGCTGAGAAACTCCCAGTAGATGAGGAGAGCTGCGCTCTAGCCATTCCCCTGTCTGAGGTGGAGAGATCCTTCAGGACCGTTAACCCACGCAAGGCACCCGGTCCCTACGGCGTCCACAGCCGTGTACTTAAAGCATGTGCCAACCAGCTGGCTGAGGTTTTCACTGACGTCTTTAACCTCTCCTTAAGACTGTCAGTGATTCCCAAGTGCTTTAAGGAAACCACAATTGTTCCAGTCCCCAAGAAATCGTCTGTCACCTGCCTGAATGACCACTGCCCTGTTGCACTGACATCTACAGTTAAGAAGTGCTTCGAGTGGCTGATCAAAGCCCACATCTGCTCAACACTTCCAGCCACCATGGACCCTCACCAATTTGCATACCGCTCCAACAGATCCACAGACGACGCCATTGCACTAACAATACACACTGCTCTCACACACCTGGACAGAAAGAACACATATGTAAGAATGCTGTTCATAGATTACAGCTCAGCATTCAACACAATCATCCCTGCCAAACTCATTCCTAAGCTCACAGACTTGGGTTTGAACTCTCATCTCTGCAACTGGATACTGGACTTCCTGACGAGTGACCCCAGGTGGTGAAAGTTGGTAACGGCTTCTCTTCCACACTGACTCTGAGCACAGGGGCTCCCCAGGGATGTGTGCTCAGCCCCCTCCTGTACTCCCTGTATACACATGACTGTGTAGCCAAACACACGTCTAACATCATCTTCAAGTTTGCTGATGACACCACCATCCTAGGCCTCATCACTGATGGAGATGAAACAGCCTACAGAGACGAGGTCAGCGCTCTGTCTGAGTGGAGCCATGACAGCAACCTCCGTCTCAACATCAGCAAAACAAAGGAGATGATCGGGGACTACAGGAAGCAGCAGAGAAGTGGTCACTCTCCCCTTTTCATCAATGGAGCCGAAGTGGAGAGAGTCAGCAGTGTGAAGTTTCTCAGCGTACACCTCACTGATGACCTCACCTGGTCCCTCCACACCAACACTATCGTGAGATCTGCCCGTCAGCATCTCTTCTTCCTGCGCAGGCTCAGGAAGTTTGGTCTGCCTCCTCAGATCCTCACCAACTTCTACAGATGCACCATAGAGAGCATCCTCACAGGCTGCATCACTGTCTGGTACAGCAGCTGCACCGCCTGTGACCGCAAAGCCCTTAAAGGAGTGGTGAGGACGGCAGAAGCCATCATAGGCAACAGACTACCAGCCTTACAGGACATCTACCAGTCCCGCTGCCTCAGGAAGATCAAAAAGATCCGGTCAGACAGCGTCACCCAGCACACAGCCAGTTCACCATCCTGCCATCAGGCAGGAGATTTCGTAGCATACCGGCTAATGAACAGTTTCTACCCACAGGCTGTCAGGCCTCTGAACAAGCTGTGAAGCTGTGGGTCCTTCACCAGCTACTATTTTACTCAGTCACATTGTCAGTATTATTATTATATCATATCATCTCTGCTATGGACAATAACACCTTAACACTAAGCCACTTTAAAGAACAATAACACTGAGTCACTTAGTCACTTTAAAATGTATATTGTCTGTATATTTGTGTACATTTCTCTATATTTGTGTATATTTTATCTGTATTTTCTCTATATTTTGTGTATGTTTAATATATTTCAGTTTGTTTTTCTTGTAATTTTATTTTTACTTATTTACTTTCTGTAGAGTGATTTGTCTGAGCCTCACCACAAGCATTTCAATGCATAAATGTCCTGACATGTTGTGCAATTGAGAAATAAACTTGAAACTTGAAACTTGAACTTGATGTTCAAGCGATGATTGATCAGCATTAACAGCCCAAAGTGCGCTGAGAAAACATCCCCCACCCCATTACACTACCTCCACCAGCCTGGACTGGACTCACACAAGGCAGGTCAGGTCCATGGATTCATGCTGTTCATGCCAAATTCTGACCCCATCATCTGCGTCTCTCAGCAGAAACTGAGAATTATCAGACCAGGATACGTTTCTCCATCCTCAGCTGTCCAGTGTTGGTGGGTCGGTGTCCACCGCAGCCTCAGCTTTCTGTTCTCGGCTGACAGAAGTGGAACCTGACGTGGTCTTCTACTGTTGTAGCCCATCCGCCTCAAGGCTGGACATGTTGTTCATTCTGAGATGCTTTTCTGCTCATCATAGTTGTACAGAGTGGTTATCTGAGTAAACGCAGCCTTTCTGTCACCTCGAACCAGTCTGGCCATTCTCCGCTGACCTCTCTCATCAACAAGGCATTTCCATCCGCAGATTTACAGGTGTTCCTAATAAAGTGCTCGGTGAGTGTACATTATTATAAACATATAATAAAATACATTCTGAGTGTAATACAGACCTGGTTGTTTGTTCTGCTTAGCATTTGCAATGTTTAACTGTTAATGCTGTATTTTAATACAGCAAAGATGGTCACTTCTCTCCATGTGTGGTTTGGCTACCTATTTAAAATGTCCATGAAATCTGATTGGCCACCCTAGATGGCACCCCAACATTTCTGCCATGTCATTACCTTCCACCTCACCATGCAGTGGGTGATTGTGCCTTTTAGAGGAGAGGCGCTGTGACACTGTTGTGACGAGTGCCTCAAATTACAAATGTGTGTATTCTATTTGGTCTTTGATCATCAGGAATTTGACGATGATGCAAGCCATCATATTTGTTTCCATTCATGCCAGAAATGACTCTCACCATCACAGTATAAGATCAAGATCTACCCCAGAAAATATATTCATGATACAATGTACAATCCTATCCATGATATTCTATGGAAATATAGACACTTCTGTACAACACGTTTCCCAATCAATACAGATAAACTTTACTTAACCTCTACGTCTTCATGACAGTCTAGTTTAAAATGATCCCCAATCTGGGCTGTTTCCCAAAAGCTTAGCTGTGTACCGGAGTTGTTAAGTTCCATCGGAGGAACCGTTGTAAGATGAGCGGCTGCTCACCAAAACCTCAGTTTGAATAAACATTTTACTATTTTACTATACAGCTCTGCGTTTCCCAGTCTTGGATATTGTTTATTGTTTATTGTGTACATTTTATTGTTTATTAACATATAGCTCTGTGTTACCCAGTTTTGGCGAAGTTGGTCCAGTAGGTCATGACGACGGCGCTGAGCATGATGTCGTTGCGTGAAAAGTTGCAAGGGAAAAGCTCAGTGGGTCCTATAAGCGGAACTCCGAACACGTAGGGGATTTCGTCTCCGTGGGCGGAGTCAGCCCAGGCGGGCTTCATGGGGCTCTGGCAGTGGTGGTAGAAGGCGTAGAAGAACGTGGGGGAGCCATAGCGGGCGTGCAGGTCCGCCGTCACTATCGCAGGCTCCACCCACTGGTGGTCCGTAAACATGGCCACCAGCGTTTTGCGGCGCGTCTCGGGGTTGTCTCGGTCGGCCCAGTCCGTGTACATGAACTTTATCGTCTCCCTCAGCGTGTCCTTCCCCTCAGGGTAACCATAGAGACCGTCCACGAAGTCTGACACGGCGAAATCAAAATCCGACCCAGAGACGCCACCCTCCTCGGGCTCCACCACGCCCTCCACGAAGCGAAGCCCCTCCCCCTGGTTGACGCCCAGCATGATGTCATAGTTGAGGAACTCGCCCTGCTCCATCAGCACTTCCGGGTCGTCGGGGATGAGATCGCCATCGATGACTGGGCCGAAGGCGATGTGGAAGCGCGCGGGCTGGATGTCCTGCTCCACCAGCTCCCTGTAGCTGCGCTTCTGCATGCACAGCACCAGGTCCTGCATGAACACACACACACAGATAATAAGGCCACCAAGCCAGTCGATCTCATGGACCAAATGAAGAATTTGTGGCCAGAATAATAGAAACATGCTTATCATATGAGCACTACATTTTACAGTCATCAAACACTTCAGGAGGAAATATTTATAAAAAACACTTCACATTAATAAGAACTTTGGGCCTCGTTCTCCAACATGCTCATACGTTTGTTTTTAACTGTGTTATTGAGAAAGATCCTGAGAAGAAGTCTCCGTCAGATTCATGTCGTGTTCTTAAAGCACAGAACTGTTCTCACCTTTGTGCTCTTGAGTGTGTGTAGATTCTGTTCTTACCCAAGAACAAATCCCACACAAGAGAACATTGGTGAGTCAGAGTCTTTATCAAAACTGCATAAGTGGGTTTAAGAAGGACTTTCTTCTTTGGAACGGTTGGAGAATGAGGACCATTGTCAGTGTGGTGACCATGGTGGTCCCCCCTGCCAAGGTGGTCTGCCCAGAACCCAGTCTGGGTTATTTTGTTAGGTTCTGTTTAGTTCCTGCAGTGATGGACTCCCAGTGTGACACCAGCTTATTTAACACCTTATTTATAAGATCTTGTTTCATACAGTTATGTTAGGGTTTTACTAGACCATATTCTCGTTGTGTTTGGTTCGATATAGAACCCTGACATCGTAACAATGGTAGAACCCTTTTTGGTGCAATATAGACCCCTTTTCAAAAAGGTTCTGTATAAAACCATATACAACACATTCTCCATCAGTCTGAAGAACCATTTAACCATGCAAATTGTTACTTGAGTGTTCATGGTTCTATATAGAAGAATTATACTAAAGACTTGACTTGAATACTAAGGATTCAAGTCAAGTCAAGAGGCTTTTACTGTCATTCCATCCATGTACAAGTACACAGTGGAGTGAAATTACGTTCCTTGTTCCATGTTGCACTGTGTTGTTCCTGGAGGAACGTAATTTCACTCCACTGTGTACTTGTACACGGATGGAATGACAGTAAAAGCCTCTTGACTTGACTTGACTTGCCCTGACTTGAATCCTTGAAGAACCATCTTTTGTTAGGAGTGTAGAACAGGATTATTATCATTAATGAAAACTATTAAAATAAAAACTTGCAGTGAAATAATTGACTCCTTAACCATAATAAACAATAAAATGACAGTTTTCAGAAACATGAAAACCAAATAAAAACATTACAGTCCAACACAAAAACTGAACATCATTACAAAGAAAAATATGTTTTCATATTTCTATTTCCAGGATGGTCTTAAAGTGGATGCCAGATCTTAAATAGGCAGCAGATGGCGCTGTCTTTGAGCACCAAGCTCATAGATTCAAAACTATAAAACCCAGTTCAGGATTTAATCACAAAGAGGAGAAAGATGCAGAGGAAGAACTGCTGTTTTCCATGTATAATCAGTGAAAACAGCAGCACAAATATGAAGTCATCAGTAACCAAGTGGTCAAGGTCTGAAAGTGGAGGTGCTTAAAGTCAGGTAACATAAAAACTTGAAGTGAACAGGGGGAACAAAAACTGTCCATAAAGGTGCAAAATCAATTCAATGACCACATGAAGTATCCACCATTAACATTTGTGACTCAGGCTGGTGAAACTCAGGATGGTCCACCCTCTGTCACTCGCTCCTATCTAGCTGGGAGATTGAAGACTAACATGTTCTCCAAGACACGCAGCGTCTTTAGAGCTCAACACGCTTGGAGGAGAATGCGAATTGCTGATTTTGTGACAGTTTGCTAACACTTGCCCAAGTTAGCAGAGTGATGGTGGGAGAGGGAGGACCACCCTACCCAACCAGAGCCCATCCCACCCACCCACTCAGAGACTCCTGGTTACCGATGGCTGAGGCATCACCAGGGATCTCGTGATCTCCTGATGATAAGGTCAGCGCAACTGAGTTACAACTGCTGAAATATACAATAGAAATATGTAGATAAGAATACAGAAATGTTATTTTCAGAGAAATGTGAAAACCTACATGTGTGTCCAGCACATTGCAGCCCACACGCTCAGCCAGCAGGCGGGTGTACTTCACCGGCTGGTAGTTTACTGACCAACTGGAAAGAGCAGATCCACTCTGGATAATCGCTCGATGGAACAGACCTGGAAGGAGAGACTTTCGCTCAAAAAGTGGTAAAAATATCAGCCCAGACTCCAAATTCTCATTTCACTCTGGACTGAAGTTTCTCAGTGATGCAGTTAAGACAGTGTATCTAACTCAGTTACGCTACTAATGTGAAGCTACAAAGCTAAAAGACAATATAAACTAAGCATTTATATATAAATGTATGTCTCTCTCTCTCTCTCTCTCTATATATATATATATATTCATATATACATATATATATATATATATATATATATATATATATATATATATATACTCTCACGTTACCGTCTATATGCATTTGAGGGAGAATCACAGAAAATGGGTGGTGCTACATATTTTGTTTAATTTGTGAACGTGCGGTTAGTGGGTGTGGCTGTGTGCAGCTATTGGGTGGGGCTATTTGCAACGCCGCACTAATGGTGCATTTCAACTGACCCTTTCAGTAAAGATTTAAACTTAATAGGCATAAATAGCCAGTAAGCTGTTAGCTATTAGCCTGTTAGCAGGTCAACCTACTTTAATGTTATATTTTGCTCATTATATAAAAAATTAAAGGAACAATCTGTAATATATTTACTCTAGTTAACACGCATGCCTCTGGCTCTTAAGTGTCCATGAACTCCATCTCCCAGAATCCTCTGGGAGATCACGTACCTGCTGACGCTCCCCAGCGCTCCAAACATTGTTCGCACTTACCTGAATACTAATCTGGTTCACCTGTTCTTCTGGTCATCAGTTAGAGTTACTGTAAAGCTGGGCTTTTAGATTAGGTTCTTTGTGAGGTTCTGCTTCTTCTTGTGAGAACGTTTGACCGAATTATCTGGTTGCCCTTTTATATGTTTTGACCTGTCTGGGATTCTTAGATTTTGTCTGTTTGTCTTTGCTCTTTGGATCTGCTTGCCTGGTTTTGTTATGTTAGTCCTTCTTTGTATTTAGATCTTTATGGATTTGATCATTGCCTGTTTGTCAACATTGAGGTTTTTTATTTTTTTTTACCGTGCGTGTCTGACTGGTTTGGTGTCGTTACAGTAGTAAATCACAAAATGACGATGATGCGTCATCAGAGATTAAGGAAACATGCTAAGTTCTCCTTTGAAATTTCTGTCCCGTAGCGGAAAGTCTGTTTGTGTTCTGGCCTGTGGTCCCGCCCACTGTCCATTTCTCATCACCATTTTGACACCCTGCGTCGCCAGTCATGAAACAAACACAGCGTTCTGCAGCCATGGCCAGCAAACGAACTGGATCAGCAGAGATGCCGTTCGATTCTACCAGACCTAAAAAGCTAACAAGCTCCGTGATCAAAGACGCTTACAGCTCAGAAGGACTTTCACCTGAACAGGTGCCAAATGTTATCAGTGGTGACAGGTCTGGACTGCAGGCAGGTCAGTTTAGCACCCGGACTCTTTTAATACGGAGCAATGCCACTGTAATACATGCAGAATGTGGTTTGACATTGTCTTGTTGAAATAATCAAGGCCTTCCCTGAAAAAGACGTCGTCTGGATGCAGCTTATGTTGCCAAAACATGTATATATCATTCAGCATTAATGGTGCCTTCACAGATGTGCACGTCACCCATGCCATGTGCACTAATGCCCCCCTATACCATCATGAATACTAGCTTTTGAACTGTGCACTGATAACAAGCTAAGTGGTCTTTAGCCCGGAGGACACAGTGTCCATGATTTCCAAAAAGAATTTTAAATGTTGATTTGTCAGAACACAGGACAATTTTCCACTTCCCCTTATCCATTTTAAATGAGCTCGGGCCCAGAGAAGGTGGCAGTGTTTCTGGATCCTGTTTATATATGGTTTCTTCTTTGCATTTTAGAATTTTAACTTGCATTTGTGGATGCAGTGATGAACTGTGTTCACAGACAGTGGTTTTCAGAGTGTTTCTCAGCCCATGCAGTGATTTCCACTACAGAATCATGTCTGTTTTTAAAGCAGTGCTGCCTGAGGGCCCAAAGATCACGGCCAGCAAATATGTACCGTAGATGATGAAAAGCAAAAGTTCTTTGCTATTTTATGTTGAGAAACGTTCTTCTTGAATTGTTGCACTATTTGATTGTGCAGTCTTTCACAGAGTGGTGAACCCCTCCTCATCTTTACTTCTGAAAGACTCCGCCTCTCTGAGATGCTCTTTATACCCAGGCAGACAGCCCCAATATTTAGAATTTGGACTGCAGTGGCTGGTTTAAACACCTGCTGTCAGATTTACATATTGCACCATTAAGTACAATACAAACATTAACATCAAAGCATTTAAGTAACAAGATGAATGCCACGCTTTAGCAGAGTAGCTAACAGGTAACCCTGAGCAGTTCAGTTAGCAGAAAACTGATAATGAATAAACGCATATTGCAGTAACATCAAGGCACATTGTGCACTGTGTCTGCATTCAAACATGCATCTTCTGCACAGCAGCTTAGTTTGAGTGTATGTATGTCTGTGTGTGTGTGTGTGTGTGTGTGTGTGTGTGTGTCTGTGTGTGTGTGTGTGTGTGTGTGTGTGTGGTGTGTGTGTGTGTGTGTGTGTGTGTGTGTGTGTGTGTCTGTGTGTGTGTGTGTGTGTGTGTGTGTGTGTGTGTGTGTTTGCCGTCTGTAATTCAATCAGTCTGTAATTCACTCACACTGTATTGAACACAGAGCAGCATAATTAGCATACAGATTTGATAAGGTGCTGCTGGAGGAACAGTCTAAGTGGAGGGGTGGCTGTAACATACCCTAAATAGTGGTGGGGGGGGTTCTATAGCTCAGCCTAAAAGTGGGGGTGTTTATGAAATTCCAATCTGAAACTGAGTGAAACATTATCACATCTATAGCACCTTCACATTGCATTCAATTCCAAACATGACGCTCACCCTGGAGAGAGAAGAGATAACTGGGTCAAACAGGACACTCAGTACACACACACATATACACCCACTATTTATGTACCCTATAGTCACATATCTGTATATGTGACATTATGACAGCGGAGTTTGACGGCCATGAGCCGAACACTTTGTACCACGATAGTAAAGTCTGACTGGGATGTGAGCAGAGGTCTTTGTATCGTGATAGTGGAGTTCAACTGGGACTTCTGCATTGTGACAGCAGAGTTTGACTAGGCCACAAGCTGAGGTATTTGTATTGTGAGAGGGAAGACTGACTGGGCTGTGAGCTGGGGACTTTGTATTCTGACAGTGGAGTTTGACTGGGCTTTAATCAGAGGACTTTACTCTGTGATAGTGGAGTTTGACTGGGCCATAAGCCGGGGACAGCAAATTTTGACTAGACTGCAAACCGGGAACTTTGCACTTTGCACACTTTACACAAATACATAGGAAAAGAAAAAAAAGGAGAAAAAACAGAGTGAAAGACAAGGAGCAGAACAGAAGAGAAGAGACTCACACTGGAGGCAGAGAAGCATGTTACCATGGTTTCAGCAGAGATTACCGTGGTAACAGAGAAGGTGCTACATCTTACCATGTTCTTTACTCAGATATGTTTATGCCTGTTATTAATATTGACCTCTCAGACAGAGACACTGTTTGGGAATTCTGAAATATAGAATTCTGAGGAATTCTCTGCTGTTTATGAACTGTGTGATATTTGTAAATGTGGGCTGTTCTTACCTTCTGAGTGGTGGGAGAGAGTGAGCAGACTGACACATGATGCTCCGATTCCTGATCCGAACACGGTGACTCGACCCGGATCTCCTCCGAAATATCCAATATTTTTACTGATCCAGCGCAGAGCCTGGATCTGATCCAGCAGCCCATAATTTCCTTTAGCGGCCTGATCTCCGGTGCTCAAGAAGCCTGAGACAGAAACACAGCGGAGTTAGCGCCGGACGAGGTCAGGAGACGACGTCCTTTGATCACAACCACGCAAATCATCAGATGCTGAATAAAAGCTGAGACTGACACCGTCTGAGTGCACGTTCAGTCGTCATGTGAGCTTCTGTGAGTTCGGGTATCAGAAATGTCTCATACAGAGTGAATCACATTCATTTCAGGAAAACAATGACTTCTATAAATGTACGATACTGTGCAAAAGTCAGAGACCCCCTTCATTGATTTAAACTGGTCAGAACAGACGTTTTCATTGATCTAGAAAAATCGCAAATGTTTAATTAACAGAAACAGATAAATCTGATCTCAGTGTGTCTCTAACTTCGTTACAGCTTCCATTATTTTCAGATGAACATCATGCAAATGGTTCTCATGTTCTATATTGTACATACGTTCTGTAACAATCTGTCATGTACATTATTCACAATATCTGTTATATGATATACAGTCTGTGCATTTGTGTTTTTACTGCAGTGAAGTTTTCAATAATGAATTCTAAATAATGTATTAAATTATTAGTTATGATCACCATCAGAATACTGCGACATATTCAGAAAACATCATATATAGATATATATAATATAATATATAATATATATATAATATATATATATATAATGTATAACATATATCATGGCGTATATTGTATATTTCTTAATCTATATACATTTTTCCTTCTCTTCTGTTTTTTGTGATCTATGTTGCTCAGCATGTTTGTCATGTTGTATGTTTGACTCAAACAGCCAGTCTAGCAAATAATGTGTGAGTTCTGGAATCTTCTGAATCTTTTTCAGACAGTCTGTCTGCTAACGTCAAATTTTCATTAGTAGTTATGTTATGTTTTCACTCTGGGACAAAAGCACTCATTTAAAATTGTCATTAGCAGTTAATAACATTATTTTTTCAGTTTGGAAAACGATGCTATTTTTAATCTTTGTTAGAAGTTAATTCTTTCATTGTGGAACAAAAATAATCACTTAAGTCTTCATTAACAGTTAATTACATTATTTTTGAATGTTATTTTGCTGCTGGGTTTAATAATTTCCTACTTTTCTCTTTCCTTTACTGTGTTGTGTCTTTTAGTTCATGTAGACGTTCTGCAGTGTCCCAAAGCTCAGTGTTCCCTCCAGAGGGAGAAACTCTCTCCCACAGAACCCACTTTTCTCAGCTGCCTTGTAATGAGGTAGCTTGCCAGAGGCAGGGGTTTGAACTCAGGCCATCTGGGTGGTGTTTCAGAGGCCAACTGGGTGAGCCACCACAGGGTTTTGGAAGGCCGGACCCAAACACTAAGCTTCTTGAAGGTATGCTTGAAATAATGTATAAAACCACGGAGACCGGGGCTCGAACCCACGTCGCCGTGTTGATAAACCGGCGCTCTACCACTGCACTATAGAGGCCGCATCACAAAGTTGCAGGAAGGGTTCGCCTTAAAAGGGAGTGCCCAAAAACGGGTAGAAAACGAATGGCAGTATGAAAACCCACCTACTAAGGCTTAGGCGGGAAAAACAAACAAAGGACGGATTTGGCTGGATTGGGTCGTTGACTCCCCCTGGTGGCCGGTGGTGGCCTAGCCCTGGAGCCAACCCTTACAGGACCCCCCTCCCGAGGAACAGCACCCGATGTTCCCAACCCAGCGGCACGATCCCGCCTGAAGGCCTGGATAAGCTCAGCATCCAAAATATGCCGAGCCGGGACCCATGAGTGTTCCTCGGGGCCATAGCCTTCCCAGTCCACCAAATAGTGGGTGCAGCCGCGCACCTGCCGGACATCGAGAAGGCGTCGCACAGTGTAGGCGGGCAACCCATCGATTATCCAAGGAGCTGGTGGTGGGAGCTGGTCAAGGCTGCATAAGACCAGCTTGAGGCAGGAAACATGGAACATGGGGTTGATGCAGAGTGTTGGGAGAAGTGCCAGTCAGTAAGAGACTGAATTCACCTTATGGACTACCTTAAATGGGCTAATGTACCAGAGTGCTAACTTCCGAGACTCCACTTGGAGAGGCAAGTCCTTGGCTGAGAGCCATACTCTCTGCCCTGGACAAAAAAACGGTGCAGGTCACTGTCGTCTGTCTGCGGCTCGCTTGTCGTGCCTGAACCACGTGCTCAAGAAAGAGCGTGGCCGTCTTCCTGGCTGACGGGAGCTTAAGCAAAGCAATGAATTTGCTCGCCTTAGAAAAACAGTCCAGAATGACCAAGATCACAGTGTTGCCTCGGGATGGCGGCAGCCCTCTGATGAAATCCAGGGAGATACGGGACCATGGGCAAGAGGGGATGGGTAACAGATCCTGGTCCATGCGTGGCCACCAGAACCGCCGACGCAGGAACTCCAATGTGCGAGTCACCCCCGGGTGTGCTGTAAATGGGGAGGAGTGCCCCCACTGCAGCACCTTGTCCCTGACCCCTTCAGGGACGTACAATCTATTGTGGGGGCCCCCTCCTGGATCCGGCTCATTTCTTAGAGCCTGCTGCACCGGAGCTTCCACCCCGCATTGAATGGGGGCAACTATGCAGCTAGCCGGGACTATGGTCGTGGGTGGTTGCTCTTGAGGGAAGGGCTCCCACTGGCGAGAGAGAGCATCAGGCTTGGTGTTCTTTGACCCAGGCCTATATGACAACACAAAATCAAACCTGGCAAAGAACAATGCCCACCTGGCTTGGCAGGGGTTAAGTTGTTTGGCTTGCTGGATATAAGCCAGATTTTTATGGTCAGTCCAAACCAGGAAGGGGTGCTTGGCTCCCTCCAGCCAGTCCCTCCACTCCTCTAGGGCCAGTTTCACAGCTAGCAACTCACTGTCACCCACGTCATAGTTTTGTTCTGATGGGGAGAGGTGGTGAGAAAAGTAGGCGCAGGGGTCTAGCTTCTGGTTAGTACCAGACTGCTGGGACAACAGCGCACCCACACCATCTCAGAGGCATCCACCTCTACCACAAAGGGGAGCTCTGGATCAGGGAGCTGCAGCACTGGGGCCAAGGTTAAACACTGCTTGATCTCCTCAAAGGCTTCCTGGGCTTCTAGAGTCCACTGAAACCGCCCAGAGGTCTTCCTCATGAGGGCGGTCAGGGGTGCAGCTATAGAGCTGAAATTCTTCACGAACCTCCGGAAGAAGCCCAGGAAGTGCTGGACCAGGCGGAGTGATGTACCTTGGCAGGGTCCATGCTCAGGTGGTTCTGAGACACCACAAACCTGAACATGGAACAATAACTTCTCCAGCTTCACAAACAGGTGATTGTCTAGGAGAAGCTGGAAGACCCGCCGGACATGGGCTATGTGTTCATCTAGACTCTTGCTGTAAATTAAGATGTTGTCTAAATACACAAACACATAGCGGTCAAGCCCCTCCCTCAGGACCTCATTGATGTAGCACTGGAAGACAGCCAGTTCATTCATCAGTCCAAAGGGCATGACTAAATATTCATAGTGGCCCGATGGGGTGATGAAGGCTGTCTTCCATTCGTCCCCTCCCTGACCCTAATAAGGTTGTAGGCACTGCGCAGGTCCAACCTGCGCAGGTAGCAGTCCTTGACTTGTTGAGCCCTCTATAGTTGATGCAGGGAAGCAGGCCCCCATCCTTCTTCCCCACAAAGAAGAATCCTGCCCCAGCCAGGGAGGTGGATGGCCTGATGATGCCCGTGGCCAAGGACTCTTGGATGTAGTCCTCCATGGCCTTACGTTCGGGGGCAGACAGAGAAAATAGCCGGCCCCGAGGGGGACTAGTGCCGGGTAGTAAATCAATGGCAATATCGTAAGGCCGATGGAGAGGCAGGAACTGGGCCTTTTTCTTACTGAAGACCTCCTGGAGGTCCCAGTACTCAGGGGGGACTCGAGAGAGGTCAGGGGTTTCTGGACTGGGAGACAGGGAAACCGTGCCACTGGGCCTGGGGTTCTGCAAGCAGGAGATCTGGCAGAGGAGACCCCAGAAATGGATGGAATGGTTCAGCCAGTCCAGACAGGGATTATGACACTGGAGCCAGGGAAAGCCCAGCACCAACTGCACACTGGGGGCACTGATGAGGTATAAGGACACTTTCTCACAGTGCTGTCCTATGCGCAGGCTGAGTAGTTTGGTCTGCTGGGAGACTTGGGGTGCCCCTGACTCAAGGGACCGCCCATCGATGGCTGACACAGGAAGAGGCTTGTCCAATGAGACAAGGGGCACCCCAAGGGCTTTGGCTGGCCCAGCGTCAATAAAATTCCCTGCGGCCCCTGAGTCCACAAAGGCCTGGAGGCGTTCCTCCTTGTCTTCCCCCCAATAAGAACAGAGTGGGCGAGCTGACCAATCAGAGCACACTAGGTTCATCTGGAGGTGGGGCTTAAAGACACAGGAGCTCTAACAGTGCATTTCAGTCAGAGGGTTAATAGAGATGAACAGTCTGAGGAAAATAATCCGGCCTCAGGTTTCCATAAAGCGTCTGCAGAAGCAGGAAAAGCTCCGGCTGAATCGGGAGGCGGAAAAACAAGGAGCTTTTAAATGTGTTACATCCAGCAAACATGAAACTTCACTCTCGGAGAGTTCGGCACATCCCAACCGTAAAAATAGAATTCCAGAGCCGGAGACGGAGCTTCTCCTTGGAAAGGCGCAAAGACGGAGCAGACTTTATTTCTCAGTGCTAAAAAATGGAACGGCAGTGTTTTTATTTCTGGGAAAATGAGAAAATAACATGTTTTTCTGATTCATATTGTTCAGAATAGAGCAGCTCTGCGGCTGTTTTATCATGCGATACACAAAAACTCATCATAACCTGAAAACCTTGCCTTTAATTACATCGTTTCAGCTGTTCTTTTCAATTTCGCACGTTAAGAACATGACAGAAAACACAGCAGTGCTTATAAATAAACAAATAATCAAAACAACAACATCTGTTTCAGATTTTGTGAGAGTTTTAAAACATTTACAAACATTAAAACTGCTTATAAACTGTAAATCTACTAAAACCCATTTAGACTCAAACCTCAGAGACTCGAGACTTGACACAGACTCACACCTCAGAGATTCAACTCAGACTCATACCTCAGATACTCACATCTCAAACACTCAACTAAGATTCAAACCTCAGAGACTCGAGACTCGACACAGACTCACTCGACACACCTCAGAGATTCAACTCAGACTCCTACCTCAGAGACTCAACTCAGACTCACACCTCAGAGACTCGACTCAGACTCACACCTCAGAGACTCGACTCAGACTCACACCTCAGAGACTCGATTCAGACTCATACCTCAGAGACTCGACTCAGACTCGCACCTCTACATATTAATAATATGTAATAAAGCTACAGCCGTATTGGATGTGAACCCTAAACAATCTGGGGCAGATTTAAAGTTAAGATTTAAAGTTAAAGGCTGTTATAAAGCATTTATAAAGCACTGTTCCTGCTTCTGGGCCTTGTGTGACAGTTTGTATGTTTCATCTGACGAAATCCTGTCTGAGGCATAAAGCTCTCAGGCTGCCGAGTGACATATCAGGCTTATTAAAGATTCATAGAGTATTCATTAAAGATTCAGTGCTGCTTCATTAATATTCACTGTGTGTATATATACAGTGCTGTGAAAAAATATTTGCCCCTTACCCATTTTTTTTCTATTTTTGCCAATTTGTCACATTTGAATTTTCAGGTCATCCAACTAAGTTTAATATAAGCTAAACACAAAATGCAGCTTTAAAATGGTCCTTTCATTTATGGAAGATAAAGATTAATTGAAAACTTTTATCTTTCATCCATATATTCATTCATTCATCATCTAAACCATATTATCGTCCTCGGTCACATGGGGAATTCTGGCCCTCTTTTCTTTGCAGAACTGTTTTAATTTGGCTACACTGGAGGGTTTTCAAGCATGAACTGCTCATTAAAGGTCTCGCTACAGCATTTCAATAAGACTCAAGTGAGGACTTTGACTCAGTGACTCCAAAACCTTCATTTTATTTCTTCTGAGCCATTCAGAGGTGGACTTGCTCGTGTGTTTTGGATCATTGTCCTGCTGCATAACCCAACTGTGCTTGAGCTTTAGGTCACAACCTGACGGGTGAACATTCTCCTTCAGGATTTTCTGATAGAGCAGAATTCATGGTTCCATCAGTTATGACAAGTTGTCTAGGTCCTGCAGAAGCAAAGCAGCCCCAGACTATCACACTGCCACCACCATGTTTCACTATTGGTATGAAGTTCTTATGGTGGAATGTGATGTTAGCTTTACACCAGATGTAACGGGTCTTTCAAAAAGTTCTACCTTTGACTCATCAGTCCACAGAATATTGTCTTGAAAATCTTGGGGGTCATCTAGATGTTTTTGGCACATGCAACATGAGCCTTTGTGTTTCTCTTCTTTTTGGTCAGCAGTGGTTTGTACCCTGCGACCCTGCGACCATGGATGCCATTTTTGCCCAGTGTCTTTTTTATTGTGTAATCTTGTACACTGACATTAACTGAGGCAACTGAGGCCTGTCGTTCTTTAGATGTTCATCTGGGTTCTTTTGTTCCTCCTGGATGACTCGTCGATGTGCTATTGGTGAAATTTTGGTAGACCAGCCACTCCTGGGAAGGTTCCCCACTGTTACAAGTTTCCTCCATTTGTGGATAATGTCTCTCACTGTGGTTCTCTGGAGTCTCGGGGCCTCAGT